GGAAGCGAGCGGGTGGGAAGCAAAACGTAAATTGATGTTCTTCGAATTGTCTGCGGGCGTTGGCCTCTCGGCGCGCTATGGGGGGTGCTCCGGGGCCACTTGGGGCAGTCTTTGGGGCGGTCTATAGGAGGCAATATTGGGCCATCTGGGAGCACCCCCGACAATGTTGGCGGTCATCTTGAGCTATGAGAGACATGATTGGAGCCATCTCGGGCCACCTTGGACGCCCAACTCGGTTGCCGCCACCCCCCCCGCCCAGGCCCAGGAATGGGGGGGGGCAGTCCCCTCCCCGAAAGGGAAGAAGGGCGCTGGAACAAACCATGCACGTCGTTCGCGGTGGGATTATATCGCGGCGCCACCTGCGCCCGGGGGGCCAGCCGGGTCGGGGCCCTCGGATAGCGGGCGGAGACCAAGGGCTCGGGAGAGGACTTGAGTTGCTTTCTCCAGGCGGCCAGCCGCCCAGGTTTTTGTTTTTTGGCGACTGCCCATCCGGTCTGCGAAGGCGGCGGCATCTCCTCGCGCCTCAGCCCGCGCGGCAGCGGCGTCGGGGCGCCCCCTCGAGAAAGCAGGGCCGGCGCGGGCTCGCAGATTGCACTCGCGCTTGCACGCGACAGGCGCGCAAGGAGGCGCCCAGACAATCGCGGGGGCCGTTGCCAAACCAGCAATTTGCAGGTTGGCCGCTCGCGATTGCCTCGTTGCTTCGGACCGCGCGACGCGCGCATCTATTCGGGGTTCTAGGTTTTCTCGCTGAAGGAGGGGGCGGCACTTGCGCCGCTGAACTGGAACGAGGAGGGGCAGTGCATCAGGGACGAGGGACGTCGGCTTCGAGGTGCCAGGAGACGCGCCCCCCGCGCGCGCGGCGATCAAGGATACTCCTGCGAAGACGAGGCGGTTCGAAGTTGCGGAGCATCAGAGAGGGCAGCCTGCGCTCAGCTTGATTGCCGACGAGCGCCCGAAGGAATACCCGTTGCTGAGGTGGCTGGGCCACAGGGAGGGCCTCGCGGCTGGGCCCCCTGACCCCGCACACCGAGCCCCCAAGGATTTGGGCGAGGCCGCGAAAGAGCACGGTCGTTGGGACGCCGCCCAGGACGCCATTTCCCTGTGCAATTTCAACGCGGCTCCATTTTCATCTCGCGCGCGGTTTCAGCTGATGCGGACGACGAGTCGTTCGCAGAGCTCCACCTCATTATGCGCGAAGACGAGGCGACGAACCCAGGCGTCGCGGGAGCTGAGTAGCGCGGAAAGATGATGTGGGACAGGCTTCTAGTGGGCGTTCAATGGCGTCGGCACTGGCGCGAAGTGGACGCGGCGGTCTTTTCGCGACGTAGGAGTCTCGAAGCAGTTGCCTGCGCGGGGGGGGGGACCACTGGCGCTTGCAGAGTGCGCTTTCAAACTGGGCTCGCGCGCCGGCGCCAGCGACTCGCCCATTTTCGCGGAGCTGCCTGTGGCGAACGCGCCCAAGAGCGTTGCCGATGCTTCCTCCGCCCCCCTCTTCCGCCCCCCCCCTTCTCCCGCCCTCGTTCCCGCGCCGCCCCCCGAGTTCGCCATTGGGCGCGCCGCCAGCGCCCGCGGCAGCTGCTGCCGCGCGTGCTTCTCCGTCTAGCGGAGGGCCCCTTCTCGCTGGCGACACCGGGCAGGAGCCCGGGGCACTTTCTGGCCAGTCGAAAGCGCCCGAAGCCCCCGCCCAGAACATCCTCGCGATTGCCCCCCATTGGATAGCCCAAGTGCCACGCGTGCCGCAGTGGGCCGACGATCCGCCCGCATTGCGATTGATCTGCGGGCCCCAAAGGGATGGCCCCCCAGGCCCGTCGCGAGCGCGCGCCGAAATCATTCGGGCGATTTTGCACACCCACACGCACGTGTGCATACATATATATATATATATACATATATATACATACCCGGGAAGAGAGAGAGAGAGAGAGAGAGAGAAAAGAAAAAAACAAACAAAAAAAAAGAGAGAGAGAGAGAGAGAGAGATAGAGAGAGAGAGAAAGAGAGAGAGCGAGAGAGAGAGAGGGGGGGGCGCAACCCCTCTGCGTTAGACCACGCGGGCCACCCGCCCGCGCCAGCCGCGCGCGCATGTCGAAATCCTTCCAACACCCTCATCGCCAGCACGTGGGCACCATCACCATCTTGGGCGCGACAAGCATCGCCGCCGCCCCTGGCCTCGCCGCCGCCATAGTCACCATCGCCACCATCAGCGCCACTATCGCCATCGCGTCTGCCGTTGTCGACGTTGCCACGGTAACGCGCCCGCCCGAGTCACCGACTCGCCTTGAAGCGCCCGCGCGCCAGCGTGGCCTGCGGACGCGCAGGGGGGGCCCGAGCGGTGAGCGCCACCGCAGACGCGTCGTTCGCGCCGAACTAGCTGGCAGCTCTGCGCGCGAGCCTGCGCGCGAACGAGGCCACAGCGATGCGCCAGCCAGCTCCAGGCAGTCATCGCAATCGCCGCCGCATGGGCTTTTCGAGTCACACTGCGCGTGGATAGGTGGAACGGTTCCGCGAGCAGTGGTTTTGACAATTTCAAGTTGCGCGAGATGAAATGTGCCGCGTAATTCGCCCCGCGGCGATTACACCTCGCGAGTCCCACCACAAGGATTGCACAACGTACGACGCATCACGTACAGTAGTTTCACAACGTAGGTGTCACATTATAAGTCCCACCACATGTATTTGCACCCCAAATTGCATTGCGCATATGGCACAACTATTGCACCACGTACATTGGCCTACATAGCTTACACCTTATGATACGTACCACGAATTCTGTACCACGTAGATCGCACAGCATAGATCGCACGACGCAGGGTGCGAAACATAGATCGCACCACGTATGTTGCACCTGGCATATTGCACAACGCATTAAGTTTTACCATACCTCCCCGAGTTGTACCGCATATCCCCTAGATTTAGCGCCCCCCCGGGGACGCAGCGATTTACATGATGCCCAGTCGTCCATTCGGAACCCGAACGCATACTTCACAGCCAGGCGGGTATCGCGCCCCCTGTCACATAACAGTATGCGCGCGCACTTGCTGATCACAAGCCATACGCTCCCAACATCCTTTTTTACACAAAATGGACCAACGTCGGCACGCGCTCGTGGTCGCGCGCTTGCGGAAATTATTCGAAGACGTTGAGTTCGCAAGGGTTTCAAGGTCTTGGGGTTCCCGAGAACATGTAACAAACCATTGGTTGTTCGTGACATGTCTTGTCAAAGTCCGCGCGCGTGCTCTTGCATATTTCAGAAAAGACACAACAAAGGCTTGATCTACATGTGTACCAAATGGGACCAGCCAAGCCTTTCGCGCGCGCATGTCTGATTAATTTGGGCGTCGTTCCGCGCTTCCTGCGGGGTTGTGATGGGGAGGTGGGTCGCGATCCCTGTCAAATAATACCATGCGCGGGCCTCTCGCGCGCGTCGGCCGCACGCGCATGTCGAAATGTGTCAAAAATCTTGTTTTTGCCCGCCCAACCTTCATCATCATCCAAAGCCTTCATCAACGATACGCGAAGACTACCACCATTATTGGCGTGACCAAAATCGGCGCCGTAATTGGCCTTGCTGCCATCATTATCACCATCGCCACCTTCATCGCTACGATCACCGTCGTGCCTGCCGTTGTCGACGTTGCGGCGGTAACGCGCCCGCCCGGGTCACCGATTCGCTCTGAAGCGCCTGCGCGCCAGCGCGGCCTATGCGACGCGATGCGATGTCCTTACCGATGCGCGCCACCGCGGGCGCGCCGAGTGTGCCGAATTAGTTGGCCAGCATGCTTGCATGCGCAAACGCCGCCGCATGGGTGTTGCAAGCAATTTTCGGGCGGGTGGGTGGGATGATTGCGCGAGGGGAGTTGACATGTCCAGTTTGTTCAAAGGCATATTGCATCGCACACATTGCACCACACAAAGCGCACCACAGATTTATTGCACCACTTATATCGCTGCACATTGGATGCACCACATACATTTCACAACCTATATCGTGCGACATAGACCGCACCACATAGATTGCACAAAATAGGCCTCGATTCTAGCGAGCGCGATATCACGATGACGTTGACAACGACGGAAACGATGAGTGGTGGTGATGGTGATGCGGCATGAGGTTGAGGATGAGGATGGTGATGAGGATGAGGATGTTGACAATGAAGCAGGGGATGTATTGATGATGATGGTGATGATGATGATGATGATGATGGTGTTGATGTTGATGATCTTGATAAGTATGATCAGTATGCTGATGATGGTGATGGTGATGGTGATGATAGGTATGAGTATGTTAATGATGGTTGTGATGATGATTGCGATGATGATGATGATGATGATGATGATGATGGTGACGATGATGATGGTGATGCTGATGCTGATGCTGATGATGATGACGATGCTGTCGATGATGCTGATAATGATGGCGACGAGTATGCTGCTGATGCTTGTTCTTATGATGATATTGATGATGGTTGTGGTGATAATGGTGATGATGATGGTGATGGTGATGGTGATGGTGATGGTGATGGTGATGGTGGTGATGATGCCGACGCTGATGACGATGACGATGGCGTTGATGACGATGACGATGGCGATTATGATGAAGAAGGTGCTGATGGGGACGATGATGATGGCGATGCTGATGATAATGACGGCGATGAAGATGATGATGATGATGATGATGATGATGATGATGATGATGATGATGATGATGGAGATGATAATGATGGTGATGATGCTGCTGGTGAGGATTGTGGTGAGAGTGATGATGTTGCTGATGGCCGTGATGATGATTACGACCATGATCTTCATTATGTTGATGTGATGATGATGACGATGATGATGATGAAGATGATGATGATGTTGATGGTGATTGTGATGGTGGTGGTGATGGCGATGGTGATGGTCATGATGGTGACGGTGGTGATGATGGTGATGGTGGTGATGATGTTGCAGATGAGGATGAGGATGACCAGCCGGATCAGCCGCAGCGCCTCGCACCCACAGGCGCTCCGTTCCTGGCGACGAGGACAGGGGCATGCGGGCACTTCTGCACGAGCTGGACCTGAGGCCTGGGGTAGCGGCCCCCCGCGGCGGTCTGGGCTGCCATCGCCGCCAGGGGAGCCCAGACCTAACAGGGCACATGTCGATACGGTCGATCCGCCTCGATAGTGATTTCGGCCAGTCCGAGCCGAGTCGATTCTGATCTCTCTACGATCCGAGGCCGCACTCTGCCTACATGGCGCCGGTGTGCATTCTGGTGAAGCCGATCCGATTCGATTTCGACTCCGTACCGATGCTGCCCGATCGGGCGCACCTTCCGATTCGATCCGATTTCCCGACTCTGCGACTACAAAGGGTGTGGTGATGCCGAGCTGTGGTTTACGATCGGCACCGTTAGGGCTTGGGGGACACCACGTTGCCCTTGTCGGGCCTCCTCCGAGCGCGGCGGAGAATTCCGTCGAGGTCCTCGCCCGCCCCCCAGGGTGCGGGTTGCAACCCCCCCCTGTGCGAGCCGCACCAGTAGGAGTCGCCGACAGACCTCCTCGCGGTGCAGGAGAAAAAATCATGATGGCGGATTCGTGGCCACCCTCGGCCTTTGAGGATTACCTCGGAGGGCCCCAGGAGTTCTGGGCACGGCAACGTCGATCTTTGACAAGCCAATCTTGGTCCAAGAGCGGGCGCATGGTCAGGCCAGAAGAGCGTTTATGCCGATCCTGGGCCTAGGATTGGCACTGCCAGGATCGGTGCATGCGTACACTGGGCGCCCCCTGAAACTGCCTTGGTCGTCACTGTGGTCTGTTCTGTTGGTTCAACGGCCCGAGTGTTCGCAGCGACACGGTCCGACATCGTCCCCCCGCACCCTCGCATCATCAGGTTTTGGCCCTACGCGCATCCAGAAGACCCATACGCCAGCCCATGGCGGGAGTGGGCCTTTTCACACCTCGGCAACTGAGGGCACCCCAAGACCCTCACTTTCGCAGCAGGCGGTTTAACAAAGATCTCTGAGGATTGGTTCCAGGCTCTCGCGTTGTGATTTCGTGTGCTTCGAATGCCCCCGCCAGCCCATCCAGCGACCAGTGTATCGTTCACGTTCTGCTTGGTCTAACGTGCAATGGCCTATCCTGGTCTGGTCTGGCCACGCATGATCTGATCTGGCGTTGCTGGGCGTAGTATCAGTTGTGCCGATCCGGTCTTCACGAAGTTGGACCCACCCGCGACCCACCCGGCGACCCACCCGCGACCCACCCACATTGCTCTGACGAGAAAAACAATTGGCGCCTGCGGCGGGCTCGTCGCGCAATGTGTTACAACAAAAAACGGCGCCTGCGCCGGGTTTCTTCAGAGCCACGCAAACTGCAGACGACCCTGCCGTCCCCGCACTCTTGCCCGCAACTGCGGGGTGCTACGTTTTGGGCCATATTGAAAGAACCTTGACCTGAGTATCGGTGTGCCTGGGTTGTAAGAGGCCGCCTGGCGGCCTCTTAAAATCTCTTGGAGGACCTCTTGCGGCCCTACTTGAAAGGCCCTCTCGGGGCACTCTGGTGGCCTGTTCTGCCGGAAGCCCGAAAAGGCGAGACGCTGGAATTTGTTATGCATGTTAGGCAATTTACTTGTGCTTACCTCGTGAGGCCCTCTGGGGTGTTATCTTAAAGCCCTCTTGGGGTGTATCTGGGGCTTGCTGGATCATCTTGTGGCAAGTGTGGGCCGTCTATAAGCCGTCTCGTGGTCCTTGGACCGTATCGGTTCTTATCTTGAGTATCTTGGAGGGGCCAGAGAATGGATATGGAGACTCTTGAGGGCCCATTGGGTGCGTTGAGGAGCTAATACCAACCCCCCTCCCTTCGCTCCCAGGACGGAGTTTGGGCTTAGGTTAGGCGGGGGAGGGGAGGGAGGACAGTCGAATGTCCCACACGCCGTTGACCACCAGCAAGCAAAGCTGAATCGGTTATTCTTCCTCATCCTCCTCCTGCGCTCTTCACATACCGTATATGCTTGCGTTCGCAGTCCGCGGGGGCAGACAAACCCGCGGGCTGAGGGGTGGCTTACACTCCGGTTGCCTATTCTCGTCTGGCATTTCTCGTTTTGATTCGGTGTGCTTGTGAGCGGTCTTGGTTGGCGTGATCGGCTGTCGTGGCTTGGACTGGCATTCCACGGTGTAGCGCATGCAGTATGGCACGGTCTTGTGTGATATGACGCAGGCCGTTGCGATCGAGTATTGGTAGGTGGAGCGGCGGGGGACAGGAACAGGACGAGCGGGCGAAAGAGGCATATCATGACGAATGTAGCGGCGGCCATGCTGTTTTCGCCTCGTACTGAGTGTCATGCGGGTATGTGGGCTGCCCTTGGAGGCTTTGGCAAGCGTTGGGGTCGCCTCTTGAGAAATCATTGCGCTCAACTCTGGCGCCTACACAGCGTGTGAGCAGCCTTCAGAGCGAGACCTCGGTCGTTGCCTGGACGCCGTCTGATGTATCAGGGTCCCCTTAATTCCCTCCTAACAATCTAAAGATGCAGCTCAGTCCTACTTGGGGCCTTTCAGGAGCTTTCTTGGGTCGTCTGAAGGGCCTGCTAGGCACCTCTTGGGCGTCTTAGGGGCTTTTAGGCTGGCCTCAGTCCTGAGGGCATATTGGCGACTTCTTGGGCGGAAATATCTTAGGGGGGCTTTTTGCAATATTCGGGGACAGCTGATAATTTGGAAGCATTCTGGGAGGCCGATGAGTGCCGAAAACACTTGACCCATTGTCTCTTCACATCCGCACACTCCTTCTTAACAGAGGCGAAACATGAAGCCCTGGGACCCACATCTTCGCCGACACATCCTTTTCCCGATGATTGGCAACGCCTTTTCTGGGTGCCGATCTTGAGGGCTCCTTCGGCTTCTGAGATCGCAGTTGGTTTGTTACTCGTAAGGGTCGGGGAAAATTCGACGCTGGTTATTCACCCCTTCCCCGCCAAGATTCATTTCGATCCGATCGATCCAAGTCGATATCCATTCTGGCCGTCCAGAAGCGATTCGATTCCGAAGTGTCGACGATCCGGTGCGGCTTGATGTTTGCATCGCGTTGTTGCGCATCTTGGCAGAGTCGATCCGAATCGATGTCATTCCGTTCCGACATAGCCCGATCAGACGCACATTCCGATTCGATTTGATCTCATCGTTCGATGTTGGCCGACCTTCCACCCTGGACAGAACATTTGCGGAGACGGTCTTAGGGCACGTTTCCAACACAACCGGCCGCCTCCTCATCTCTCCCCCTCCCCCTCCTCCTACTGAGGCAGGGTCCCGCCATCAGTCAGTGGTGTCCCCCAGCGAGGTTGCAAGGGAGTCTCCTACAGTCGCATGAGCGTCACAGTTGCAGCACGCATGCCAACTTGCTCTGTTGACTTCTTGAGTTCAGCAGATCCGTCCCCCTCATCCTCGGCCCACCACCAATCAGCACAAAAAGACAACCAATGCCACCACACGAGTACAACCTGCTACCGCCGCGTCGCCGACCCCCCGCGCTTGCACCCCCACCCCCAGTGCCCCCCCCCCTGCCGCCCCCCCCGTTGCCCACCCCCCCCTCGCAAGCAGCCTCGCTGCCTCGAGGGGGGCCCCACTGCTTTCCCCTGCTCGCGGGAAGCCCTCGCGGAAGGCACGCAGCCCCTCGCCTGCCAATGGCAGATTTCCCCGCCAAATCACGTCGGGGTAGGGCCGCTCCAAACCACTTTCAACATGGACAGTTTGGCCGAGCAGTCTGAGGCGGTGGCTCAAGGCGCCATTCCGTAAGGGCGTGGGTTCGAACCCCACAGTTGTCACTATTTCAATTCACCTCCCCTTGGCAGCCCTTAAACGTCTGGGGGCGGGGAATCATCGAGAGACCAGAGAGAGAGAGAGAGAGCTCAAGACGGCATCACTTGGTCGAGGCTTGAGAACGAATGCAGCACCAGCGAAAACAAAGCACATGCCACCAACGATCACGCACGCACATGCACAACTGCACGACACCACCCACGCACGAGGACGCCGACTACAAGGATCACTCTTCCTCATTCTTCCTCCATATCTCACGCACTGCTCGATGGTTTCGCGGCACGCATGCGTGTTCTCCTCGCGCGACAGTAAGTACAGAGGGTACGGCCTCGCCCGCCTAGGCTCAGATGGGCCTGGGGGATTCTCCGAATTGGCGGCTCGCACGCCGTCTACAAGGATTAATTACTCTTCCTCATTATTCCTCCATATCTCACGCACTGCTCGATGGCTTCGCGGCACGCATGCGTGTTCTCCTCGCGCGACAGTAAGTACAGAGGGCACGGCCTCGCCCGCCTAGGCTCAGATGGGCCTGGGGGATGCTCCGAATTGGCGGCTCGCTCGCTCGCCCTCCCGAGGAGGAGGAGAAGGAGGAGGAGGAGGAGTAGGAGGAGGGGGAGAGGGAGGAGGAGGAGGAGAGGAGGAGGAGGAGGAGGAGAGGAGGAGGAGGAGGAGGAGGAGGACGAGGAGGACGAGGAGAAGGAGGGGGAGGAGGGGGAGGAGGGGGAGGAGGAGGAGGAGGAGAGGAGGAGGAGGGAGGAGGGAGGAGCAGGAGGAGGAGAGGGAGGAGGAGGAGGAGGGAGAGAGAAGGGAGAAGAGGAAGGAGAGGAGGGGAGGAGGAGAGGAGGATTCCCCCGCCCCCCCCACCCCGCCCGCTCGCTCAGTCCGTCGCAAGCCTCCGCGCGGCGCGCACGAGGCGGCAGCTCGACGCCGCTTAGCCTGCCCGGCGGCAGCGGGCCCCCGCGGCCGCCTCTCGCGCCAGAGGCCTCCTCCTCCTCCTCCTCCTCATCCACATGTTGTTGTACGACATGCCAACTAGACGTGAAAGTGACCTTCTGCCAGAGTGACCTTCTGGTGAGGACCCAATGGGGTCATCCGATCGTTGAACGCGAAGCGGTAGCAGCGGCTTACGCTCGCAGGCCCGGCTTCCCCGCATCCCCCGTGAAGCCGCGCACCAAAGGTCATTCTTGCCTAGGGTCACTCTTGCGTATAGCCGAAAAAAACGATGGGGCCACAACCTTCCCAGACGAGCAGTTTCTGACCCCCCCCCCAGAGCAGCCTTGAGAGGGCGGCCTTGTGCCCAGGCCCCGCGGAACCCTCCAAGACAGCTCGAGTCACTCCCAAAAATCAGACCAACCCCCTGCTATTGTGAATTCCTGTTTTCGGACGTTTTCGTCGGTTATCGGCGGCTTTCCCGCCTCGGGATGCTCTCCAGCAGCTGTGCCTCGCCGAGAGCGTTCTGGAGCTGCCCGGATCGTCCCGAATGGCCGCCAGAGAGATGAATTATGGCTCGGAGACCAAATGGCTAGGGGGTAATAGGCTCAGGCCAGAGGATGGGGCGGAGGCGGGGGCAAGAATGGTGAGGTGCGGGTTCACACAGACAGTCCTCCACAGGTAGTCCCAGCGGACCTAAACACCCTGGCCTCCGGTGGCGCCCTTGGGGCCATTCGCTATAGGGGGCCCATCGCCGCTCTCATCGGCGACGTATCGCCGAGTCCAGCTCGATACTTCCCCCCCTGAGCCGTCTCCGGCTCGAGGGAGGGAGGGAGGGAGGGAGGAGGAGGAACAGGAGGAGGCGGAGCCCCTCAAAAGGGGGCGACGAGGAGGAGGAGGAGGAAGGATCCCGCATAGGGGGGTAAAAAGCACGCGGCGGCGGACAGGTTGCGCGTGAGAGCGGCACCTTCCGCCCGGAAGCGGCTTCTTCGGTTGCCAAGGGGTGTCCAGCCTCGCGGGGTGCTCTTCAGCAGCTGCGCCTCGTCGGGGGCGTTCCGGGAGGGCGGCTGGGTCGTCCCGAACGGCGGCCAGGGGCCTAGTTGAGGCCCAGAAGCCACCAGGGTAATTACCCAGATCTTGCTGGTCGGCGGCCGCGCAGGGGGCAGGTTGGATCTTGGTCAGAGCGCATCCCTGGATCAGAAGCTCTGCGTTGCGGCCTGCGTCGTCTTGGGGAGGCTCGAGAGGCCTCCAGAGCGCCCACGTGGCTTGGAGGGCCCCAGGAGCTCCACGATGACGCGACCAGGTGGGGACCTTGGGCCAGGGTCACTTCTGGCGAGGCCCCAGGGTGTTGGGCGCGGCCAGGCGGGGCAATTCTTCTGGAGATCACGGATCTAGGGTACTGCAGTGTGGGCGTGCTTTGTTGGTCCTCGAAAGGGTTCCAGGGACCTCCACACACCTCCAGGCGCCAGAGAGCCAGGGGCAATCACTGGTCGCCGTGGATCCTCGCGGCCCCTTGAAGGAGAGGGGCCCTGAGGTCTTTCGCAGCTCTCGGCCTGCCGTGGCCTTTTTGTCAGGCCCAGGGACCGTCAACAAAGTCCGGACAAACGGTCGGCCCACGGAGGGGGTGCCCGGGGGTCCAGGACCAGTGTCCTTCAGCACCTGCCCCTTCATTGCAGCGTGCGCGTTTTGGAAGATCGAGGTTTCTGTATGGTTCTTGCGTCCTTCACGCCTCCGGATGGCTTCGACATGCCGCCAGTTGCGCGTTACGTACTGGGGAGGTAATAAATGAGGGGGTGGCGAGGGTGGTCCGAAGAGGTACCCTAACGGTACCTAAACGAGCCTTTTGGGGTTCTGGAGGGGCCCGAAAAGGGCACGAAAGAGGACCGTTTCTGGCCCCCCCACTTAGTCAGGCCCAAGCAAGGGGTTTCACTTCGTCACAGAAGGGGAGGCGGAAGTGGCTCCAACCAACAGGGGTTGTACGCTGCCCCAGCCGGTGGGATGTGGCAGGCGGGAGCGCCTGAATGCACTGCGTAGGTCGGGCCTGGCGCAATCCGCGCGGCCGGTAGCCAAAAGTGGACATGTGTGGATTATTTCCACGACCTCTTTTTTTCGGCCATGTGCTATTCCATTTTCCATATGTGTTGTCTTGCGTATTCACTCGATTCCTCCCAGTTGCCGGTTGATGGAATCCACGTTGTTCAGGAGGCAATTGGCGAAATGTTGCCGCTCCGCTGGAGTAGACAAGCAATACCAGATCGTGAAATGTTCAGGCGAAAGAGCAATGGCAAGCGTTCTTGTTTAAGTCGTTTCGCAGATTGGTGCCAGGCCCTTTGCCCCCCCTCTGAAGCAGTTTGCTAATATCGGGAATTATTTCAATCAGGTGGGGAAGGCACCAGGGGGCCCGCCTCCTGCTCATATAGGACACGCTTTATTGTTCGAATGTGGCAGGATACTTGCGTGGCTGACAGATAGTACAGTACAGTGGCGGAGTTGAATATTCCCGGCCAGATTCGCCCGCAGGGTGCTGCGAGGAGAGGCAAGTTGAAACACATGTGTGCCATGAAGTTTGCCAGCCGGATTCGCCCAGATGGTGCCCCGAGGAGAATCGGAGACAGATTTGCCCGCAGGGAGTCGCGAGAACAAGCGTGTTCGAACATTTTTGGTTTGAAATGCTTCGGGCTGGATTCGCACACAGGGCGCCGCGAGAGAGTAAGCTTCCAAGGGGGCGCCGGGCGCCGGGGAGGGCGGACGCTCGGTCGCACGATCGGAGTACGGATGTTTGCAGTACACCTTCCAGGGGAAGCGCCGGGCGGGGGCCCTGCCAGGACAGGACCTCCAAGACGAGGCCAGGACACGCCCAGGGAGTCAGGGGCGGCCGGACCGACCCGTACCAAAAGCCGGCCCTTTCCGTGATGGTCCCCCATCGCCCCCAGGCGCGCGCGTGCGGTCGGAGGGAGGCTTGGAAGTCGAGGGGGACGTCACAGAAAGGGATGGCTTGGGGTCGGTCGGGCCGCGCCCGAGGGAGCGCGCCAGAACTGGAGGGGGAGGGCGGCCGCCTGCCGATGGGGAGCCGGACGGTTAGGTGCACAGTCATGGGAGGCACCTGGAAGTTGTGGGTGTGCCGGCAGTGCACGGCGTTCGTGGAGAGTAGATACGTTTATTGAAATCCAAATCCCAATTTATTTTAGGCGCCTTCCTAATTCAAGAGTCTAGCGCTTTCCCTCTTCCCTCCTCTTCAGGGGGTGGGGGGGGACCCGATCTGCTTCCAATAATGTTTGTACGCGCTGCTTCCGAACGATGGGTCCCTGTTCCAGTACGGTCTGATTGCAAGGCTCCGAAGGGCCACCATGCCCGAAAAGTCTTATATAGCATCTCGTTCATTTGGTGTCGTGGGCAACAGCCGATTCAGAAAATATTCCAAACGTTTCGGACACAGAAGGCTCACGTTTCGGGAACAGAGAACACGTTTCAGAACTAAGAGCACACATTTCAGAACGAGAAGGCTCCCGTTTCAGAAACAGCAATTGTTTTCTGTTGAGCGTTCATGGGCTCGTGTTGTTTCTGAAACGACGATCGCTGGACGACCGCAGCGTCAGAAAGATACCCGTTTTAGAAAGAAATGCCGTTTCAGAGAAAGAAGAGAAGAGGAACACACAAAAAAAAACGTTTCAACAATTTCTTTGGTGAAGGACCCAGCCGTGCGCAGTTGTGAGCACCGCCGTCGTGAAGAACGTGTTCCGTGGAGCGCACCACGGGGCCACGAAGCGCGTGAAAGGATCGCCGAAAGGAGGCGGGGCCGCCATGCGGGTGTTGCCACTGGTAGAGCCCACAGGGCGCGCGCAGATCAGAAAAAAGCAGGTTGCATGTCGATGGGAGAAGCAAGAGAGTCGAAGACATGCGGGCGCGGTATGCGAACGCAGCCATTGGGGGATGGCGGCATGCGAACGCAGCCAATAGAGCCGTTGGTGGAGCTTCCTATGGGGCCCTGAAACGTGTGAGGGGTGGGGGGCATGAGAACGCAGCCATTGGAACCTTAGGTGTGGCTCCTTGTGGGACCACGAACATGTCAGGGGTATGCCAAAATGAGGGGGGTGGGCATGCGAACGTAACGTGCGAGGAATGTGCCAAAGTGAGGGGGGGCGGTATACGAACGCAACCATTGCGTCTTTGTTATTGGGCCTTTCGGTGGAGCTCCCTGTGGTGCCACGAAACGTTTTGAAACATATGCTGACGTGAAGCGAGCAGGCCGTAGGAGCGCAGTTCTCGGGCATTCGGTGGAGTTTCTTACAGGACTATGCACCACATGTACCAACATGAAGGTGACGGCATGCAAGCGCAAGCATTGGTTTTTTAGGTGGAGCTCCCTATGGGGCTAAAGCGAGGACGGAAGCCGGGACCAGGAATACCGAATTGGTGGACATGTGGAGGGCAGAGGCAATTGTGGGAGGATAAAGTAACGGGAAGAGGAGGACAAATGGAGAGGAGGAGGCCGGGGGATTGTCTCGTGAAAGCGAGGACCCCACTCAACACAATACGCTTTGAAAAAAAAACAACACATTTCGTTTCACAATAAGCAAATACCGCTTCAAGAATTCAAGAAAATCACCGCCATTTCATTTTTTGGAAAATAAGAGGAAGAACAAAAACACACACACACACACACAACAAAAAAACAAACAAAAAAACTACGGTTTCAGACAACGTGTTCTGGCGTGTGATCTACACGCAATTGCGTGTAGATCACCCGGTTGCAATACTTGTGTTAACACAAGTATTGCAACCGGGTGACGTACACGCGGGGCCAGTTTGCATCACGGTTGCGGAGTTGGCGGGGAAACGGTGTGTAAAACAAGGATGGCAAGAACGACCATTATGGCATGACGCGGCAGTTGGGGTCCAGCCCCCCCGCCACCACCACCAGGGCACCCCACAGTCGGTGAATGGCAGCGCGGATGGCAGTATCACATGTTCAAAGCAAGGGAACGCAAATCACGTGAAGACTTCATGGTTATTTTGGCTGGCATTGGGGAACGCCGAACCGCAGTTACAATTGGGAAAGCACGTTTACGGTTTGGTTGAGGTCCGTTTTCGGTTGCGCTCCATTGTGCGATGTGTCGACGGCTGGTGTTGGTCATCTCCTACGAAGGGCCTGACACGCATTGACATGACTCGTAGGTTGCCGGTGTTTTGCGACGCGATGGTGGTGTCGCCAATTACTCGCAATGGCCTGCCCTAGAATCAGTCACAAAAATTGCATGCTCCTCGGAGACGAAAAGAGAGAATAACGACATGTATTGGGAGGTCGAGAACTCCGGCCTGAGGGCGCTGTACAGCCTGGGGGCGGAAACCTGCAGGCGATGGAGCAAACAATGCGTTGACTTAGTTCTGGCATTGGCATTCGAGCGAGGACACAACATAGATGTTTGCATCCTCACCCTTGCCCTCATCATCCTCGTCCTCCCTCACGCCTCCTAGGATTCGCCACGTTGCCGCCCGATGCCGCCTCGTTACCGCCCCGTGCGCTGGGTGGGTCTCCCGGGCCGTCGTCGCTTCGTTGGCCGCGTCGCTGCCGCCTCTTGCGTTGCGTGGGTATCCCGAGGATTCGCCACGTCGCCGCCCGTTGCCTCCTCCTTGCCGCTACGCTGACGGACAGTGACCGACGGACGCGCGCGGGCGACACATGTCATTTGGGCGCGCGCGTAGGAATCTTGCATCGTCCACCATAGTGAATCGTCCCATGTAGGTCTGGAAACGAAAATGGGTTCTTGAACGGTTCGCGCTTGCATTGTGAAGTTCGCATGGGTATTGTTGCACATCTTCTATTGTGGAAAACAATACAGAGCTGTCCACGCGCATAGGCATGCAGAGTTTTGTGTTGCTCACAGGGAAGATGTCGCCATGCTAGCCTGGAAACGGAAGCGAGCCTTCAACGGAGGCCGATTGTGTATAGAAATTCACATGCGCTTGGTTACATAGGTAAAACAATCCACGCGCACGGGCATGGAGAGGCAGTCCTGTATCGTCCACAATTAGAAATGTCGCAGCGTGGGCCTAAAAATGAACCCTTGACGATGACCCGTTGCATTTCATGCATACATTCTGTAGCATATTTACTACGACTGGCCAGACACACATCTCCATTCACCGCGTGGTGGTGAGGATGAGGAAGATGGAGAGGAAAAGTGAGGCAGAATTGTGATCAGAAGTAAAAGGGTGGACGGGGCGGAGAAAAGGATGATGAATTATGGTGATGATGACGGCGATGTTGATGACGGCGATGTTGATGATAAGAAGGTGGATGGGGGGAACGAGGAGGAGGGAGGGGTGAGGAAATGTAAAAAAGGCACTCAGGAAGAGGGGTGAGGATGATGAGGACGTCAGGAAGATGGCAAAGTGCATTTGTCTTCCTGAGGTTGAGGCGCGATATCAATTAAAAAACAGATTTACAAGTGCAGAATGGGCGAGAACATAATGAACGAAAAAACATCCCAAAACATATTTGAATATGAAATTCACCGAACGCTCAATGGAAGGTCCCCCCTGGTCGGTTAGATTTTTGGTAGGCGGCCGGCGTGTCGTGATTCTCTGTGATAAGTGCCGTCCGTTCGATTTGGGCACGCATTTGTGCCGATCTTATTTTTCCGGTATTTCCAAATAGATACATTATGGCCACTGCGCATTTTTATGGTGTTATATTTCCTGTTGTTGCTAGATTTTTTTTGGGGGGGACGCGTTTGTGTTTTAAGCGATCAATGTTGCCGCTGGAATTTCTAAAATATGAGTTCTTCGTTTCTAAATTGAAAACATTTTCCGAATTTATGGAATGAGAACTAAATCGTGAGGAATGGTTCAGAAACGAGCATGGAAGAAACCATGTAGAAAAATATGAAAAACAGGATTACGAGGCGGTGACCGGAAAGCAACGAAAAACATACCGGAACGGTAGAATACGGATGAACCGTAATAATAAACGTGCAAACTAAAATGAACATGCTCGTAGCATACCGGTCGCCCAGACCACGTCATATGGTGGTCACGTTGTTTTGTCGGCCAAATCAAGCGTTACCCCACCCATTGCTACATCCTTGATATTTTTTAGGTCCCCCATTGTCTTCCTTTATATTTTGTTGTATAGTTTTCTTCCGTGTAGCTTTACGATACGTTTTTGTTTTTTGTTTTTCCGTTTGCTTTTTCTCTATCGTGTT